TTACTGTAAATGTATATGTATATGTATATGTATATGTATATGTATATGTATATGTATATGTATATGTATATGTATATGTATATGTATATGTATATGTATATATTACTGTATATGTCTATGAGTAAAACATAATATTGAAATATAATTGAAGGCGAACGGATGCGTAATGCGTATGATTCAGAATGTATGTATTATTTAATGAATATCCATCAAGATATATTTATTGATGTAAATAAAATAATTGATCGTTTTTCAAAAAAAAAAAAGAAATCTTGATTTTGTAATTTAATAAATATATATAATTGTAAACTTTTGTTTGTTAATTCTTTAAAAATCTTTTTGATAAAATACATTAACAGGATACTATAGTTGTACCTATGATAATTATAGGTATGTTAATTTGCAAAAATTTAAAAAAGTACATATTTTAACAATATTACGAAAATAAAGTGTAGTAGTATGTTTTGGCAACACTGAAAAAATTATTGCATAATATTACTTGATATCGTATAATAATTATTCATATGGAAGACCAGATACTTATACACAATATCCACAGAGTTCTATTATTATTATTATTATTATTATTATTATAATAATTATAATTATAATTATTTTATTATCACATAATAACATGATTTAAGATAGTTGTTATATCATAAATCGTARTTAATACCGTTATTACTGTATATTATAATTATATCCATTTCACGACCACGCATTTTTACTTGTAAAATTTGAGCTTGAATTAAAGAAAAAAAACGAGTCGCCCCCCCCCCCTAGAAGTTAGTCTAAATACGCCCCTGAATGATAATGATAGTACCTAATAATATATTATTAAAGTATCAGATGATAAATTATTAATTATTATTATATCACTGTTTTAGGTTAATTTCAACCACTCTGCGTAATGTCGAGGCCTCCAGCACATCCTAAAGGCTGGGCACCGGCACCATCCGTGACTTCTCCGCCTGTGTCTTTCCGACCTGCGACTCCAACACGACATTCGCCGATCCACCGTCTCCCGCCACCGTACATTCCGTGCCCAAAACCGATGAGACCCACATCATCTCCATTGCCTACTGCTGTGCCACAACCTTATAGATACCCATCACCGGTAAATTTCTCATTATCTTACATTAACTTCAGAGTACTTTTTGCATTTAATTTTTTATAATATGAAGTTATGATATCACAATCGTATGTTAGATTATAAATAAGAAAACTAACGTCATGTGTCACGCAGCATCGTTATAAAATTACATATTGTAATATTTTCCTCGGTCATTTTTTGATTACTCAGTAGTTTTCAATAAAACAATACATAAAAATGATACAATATAGTAGACCATAGAACGGTAGATACAGTTTTTAAGAAAAATAAAATRTTGTATATTTTTAATTAGCATTGYTCTAAATTGTTTCAAATATAAAATTATACATCGTGCTTTTAGATTTAAAAATCATTAATATCTTAGAGACCCATTGATGAACTACGTATAGTATCTACCTACTAGTCACCACACTTTTTTAATTAACTTTTATAATTTAAGTGTCCGTCACCGCAAGTATATGAATCGCCTTCATTGATGCCGTCATATAGACCTCGAGAATTTGTGGTGCTTGAAGCTCCATCACCACAACAGTGGTCAGACGAAGATAACACGACCGACGGCCGTTCAACTGCAGAAATAATTGCTCAACAATCTCAGGATTACGTTGATGAAAAATTGGCTGAGTATCAGGCTACGATTTATATGCTACAAGGTAATAATGATAAAAAAATAATATAGTACATTTCATACATGAACTGGTGAAAAAAATTTCGTGTGTACAACTAAACCCTTAAGAATACTGAATAGTCTTTAAATAATTTATACAGCAATAGAAAACAAACCTCTTGAGTATTTTTAAAAACAATTATGTACTCTTCTTACAATAATTATCCATTACTCATTATAGTCATTATAGTAATATTTTCGGAATAGGTACATTAACTAAGTGAGTCGTGACTGCTTAAAGTGCTAAATAAAAAAAATGGAAATGGTTGACAACAATGACTGTAATAATATGACATAAACGTTCTTGAGACGTTTACTAATAAATATTATGTTGATTCATTTAAATCGCGTATATACACAAATTCAAATGTGTTCTACAAAGTTTTTTAAACGCATATATCTAAATGAGCAAATTGCATAGTCTATATAATAATGCGTGWAGTACCTATTATAAAAACTAACAAAAGGTTATCAACAATTATTAATGAAACAGAATTCATGCAGACTTTATAATCTTATTTTCATATTTTAGGCCATTATACATAACATTTATTTTTAGGTCATAAGAAATATATTTAGTAATGATATATCTGAGGGAAGAGTATAAAAATGTATCTACCCCTTACCCTTTACTATGGAATCACGTATGTTTCAATTTATTTTCTTGAATTTATATAAGTAAAAAAAAAAACTAAAATATTAATGGTAAAAATGTTTTTATTTTAAGAAAAATAAAGATATTTTGTATCGCAATATATAAAAAGTATGTTATTATAACAAGATTAATTTGGTTTCAATAACTTAAGTCTATAGTAATATAATATAGTAACATTATAAATAATAAATAAATAATATAACAAATTAAGAAATTAAAGATTATGCCATTGTGGTATACACATAGTTTTAGAAATGTAGAATTATTTATTTACCACATGMTTTTAAATTTCTTTGGTACGTTAAAATGATATAAKTATATAGGTAACCATACTGATTATATATAAYTACTTGRGTGATCTGTGATCTGCAGTGTGCAGAATATCTATATGACTATATATGTTTTATAATCGAGGTAATTATAAGATTTTTAACATTTCATATGTGCTTTTACAAAAAAAGAAATTTATAAATCCACCACTAATATTTTGATTAATRATAACTGGAAAAATAGTATAGGTACTTAAATATATTTTATATTTAGATGTACAATGCAGCTAGTAGTTTATATTTATTACAAAACAATTTTTATAATTCATCAATTAAATGGTAATTTAATAAATATTAAATTTTATTTTATTTTATTAAAAGATTATTTCCATATAATATGCGTACAATATACTGCATCTATTATTTTTCTAGTCACTATCTACATATAAACTTAATTTTTTTTAAATTATTTTTTATTAATTTCATAGTTATATAATTTAATTTTTTTTTATTATTTGAAAGAAAACATGGAATTTTAATTTCTTATTCTAAAGAAGAATATGTTGTGGAATACTTCGATGAGYATGAATCATAYTTCCTTAAAGTTTTGATCGGATTAGATTGAGGGTATCCTACAAAATGGTGGGTTAAACTTATCAAAAGTCGTCGGGACTTCAAATCATTTTAAGTTATAAGTTTATACTTAACTAATAAACGCTTGTTCGAAATTTGATTTTTATAAGTCCAGATACTTCAAATAATATTCTGCGTAGGAATATGGAAATTTTTTACAAATATGTTGTTTTGTGACGAATTCAAATTATTTGAAAAAAATATTTCCAATAACGACTGTTTTCCGAAATAATTAGTTTCTAGTATTAAATGGCTCCCCGCATATAATATTATATAAGCATGATATTCAATTAATTATTTTACTTAATCTACTGTCCACCTTAATCATAACTGTATAACATATAAGCACTCAAAGTGTAATAAAAGAACGAATTATGACAGTCCTTCAATTTATCTAATCTATTCTAACTTCGTAAATAGATAGGTACCAAGGTACCTATCAAAAACATATCAATATATCATGATTACATTTGTTTTGGTTAACTTGTTTCTCTGTCTATTTTTTATTTTGTTGCAACATTTTAMGATAATCATCGTAATAAAATTACAAAAAATATTAAAATTATCAACCTTTTAAATGATAAATAATCAATAGCAATATTAAACAATATCGAGTGCTTTCTGATTAGTTATAAATTTATTATGTTCAGATAGCAATACAATTTATATTCATAGTTAATGTTAAATTACTTTAGAAATATGTCCACACTCCGTAATATTATTAGTAAACAATGAGTTAAAATTATTCTTAGTTTGATAAACCTAGTAGAGATAAAAATATTATAAATTTTATAACCATGAAATGTATAATATACAATAAAGTATACCTAATATAAAATAATTAAAATAAATGAAGTAATTCAATAAAACTTTATTTTTCAAATATATTATATTATCATGGTTTATCGTTTATACTACATTTTTTATTTTAATAGCAATTGGTTATTTTTATGAAGTATGTATAAGTGGTGTGTTACTTAAAATTTTTTCAGTTAAAAATGTATATGTATAATTCAGAATTCTATATGAAACAAAAATAGTGTTTTAAGTTTTAAACACGTAATTACTCGATTTTTTTTATATTTCTTGAAAATGTTAGTAATCTAAAGTTCAGAAATGTAAGTAAGTATTTTAATAAATCTTCCCAGAATCGTGTTATCGTCAGTCTAGCTTATGCAATGATATGAATTTATTWTTTCATATTTATATAGGGTATGCTTTATTTTTTTATTTAGTTTGACCTAATAACGAAAATCGAATAAAACATTTGGGGAATAAAACAATTGTATTAATATATTGTATCTAAAACACGAACAATACAAATTGTTCCCCTACCAACGGTTTTTATACCGGTTGGGCTATACGGTACACCAAACACAAGGTTGTTAGTACGAATACTCCCACGTTTACAAAGTCTTATTCATTGAGCACAACAGCAATTCGGCGTCAGCTGTGGCATGATTATTACACCGCAGGCKATGTGTGAGAGACAAACTGCAGAGGCCACACAATCGTCTGTCGCATTGGCGAAGGACATACATAATTATATTATGCTATATATAGCAATATATACATATTAMATTTTATTATTATTCGTCAATACCAATATCAGAATAGCTGATACCTGTATCGGCTATACCTATGTATAATATATAATATATTCATATTAAATTTCATTAAATAACCACACTGGATATTTTATAATATTCCAAGACTGTTGGATATATTTTTAAGGTAATAAAGAGACATTTTTAAAAGAAAAGCAGAAGTTTGAAATTTTAAGGGAATTAAAAAAAAAAAACTATTACTTTATTCTTTCCATTCGCAATAATTATTGATCATTAAAAAAGTTAAATATGTATTCTTACCAAAACAATAAATTGCATAGCTATATAATGTTTTAATTGATTTAACATAAAAATCATATTCCCATTCCCTATTATTTAAAAGAGTTAAATTTCAATAATCTTACTAAATTGAAAGTAGGTATTTGTGATTTAACCAAAGTTCAAAATAATCTTAGATTTATACTTCGAAAAAATTGATCTAATTTTTAATAAATTTGTAGAATCAAATATTATTATAATATTATGATTTACTACAAWATATGGAACTTAATATTATGACTGTTTTAAAATTAAACTAGTATATATCTAAATATAGGAAAACATAATATAATTGGTTTATAATAAGTTGGTATTTTATAGTAGATAGGTAGGTTTTTTGATACAGTAAAACAAAATCAATAATTAAAATATTTAGTATTTGAATCAGAAAGCTTGTCATAATTTTAAAATAATCAAAATTTTGTTGTCATTTAAAGTAATTATTCAATTATTGTATAAACCTAGTGATGATTTATAATCATAAAAAAACTATTAAAGTTTGTAATAACTGCTATTAAATTATATAAATATTATTTTATTTAACAATGGACTTACAAATTATCTATATGATGTATGTTTAATACTTTTTAACTGCATTTACAATTCAAAATATAATTTGTTTACAATGACTAGGTTTACTAGCCAAGCTATACTACTGTACTAAAAGTTTAATTGTCTGGATAATGCATTACATACAATTTTCGATGGATCTTATTATATAAGAGAACTGTAAATTTTGACGTCAACCACCGCAATTAGCTGTAGTATTACAATACAATCAATACATWCACCTTTTTTACAAAACATTCTAACAAGATTTAGTAATRAAAATTACAGAAATTATAATTAAAAAATTAATTGAAAATATATCCTTTATATAGCATCCCCTAACCTAACCATTAYATATCTATAAATTAAATAACCCTTATTATTATTGTACTGATGTTCTAAACATTATGTATAGATCGTATAATTATCTAAAATTAAATGTAAAATTATTTATAATAATTACATCATATATTTATTTGATAAAAATATCAAGTAGGATACTAATACATTTTTTAAATATACCTATGTAGCCTTATAATATTATAATATACATATGTAACAAAATGCATTATTACTTAATACTTATGTGATGGTATCTTATACTACCTTTAATAATATAATCAYAACGTTATAATAGTAATTGAGACTTCATAACATAGTAACATACCTTTAACTTTAACCTAACAAATAATTATAATACTTACTCAATAAAATCATTAAAAATTAAAAATTTTAAACTCCTACAATAAATTAGAAAACACGTGTTTTTGACCAAAATCTGCTGTTTTTTAAGAGTACATTATTATAAATATAATAGAACATTTTACTTTCTCTTCTTTTGAAATTTTAAATTAAAAGTGAAAAAACGTATGTTCGTAGATTAAAAAATTTACCTATGTATTAAAATTTGTATTCAGTTGGTAAATAGTATAGGAAATATAAATAAGGCACTTTTAAAATTTAAAATAAATATGATTTTTTTTTTTAATTAGGT